GTTGGAGGCCACCGCTATTAGGTTGGAGGCCATCGCTATTAGGTTGGTTATAGAAAAGGTGAAGAGGGGACAAGGGGCCAAAAGTCTGACTTTCCAATTTTTCCGTTGCTTCACACGTGGACCAGACCTCGTTCCGCCGCTTCCCCTCGTGTGGCTCGTTCACGGCATCCCGCCTTGGTGCAACTTCACCAAGCCCACCACAATTCATGTTACACGTGTAAAGACATGGAGATGAATCTTCGGAGTTCAACAAAATGGTCTGCGGGTAGCACCATCCCGTCGTCAAATCCCAGAACATCTGAGAATTCTACACAGAAGCCCAATGTTGATATGTGTATATGCAGTGATTGGCCAAAACCTGGGAAAACATCTGTGCGATGGTAAGGACAAATGAAAGAAGAGAAAGTAGCATTCTTTTCTTGCTTTTTCTTATGTCAACTCCTACTAGGAACAAGAAGCTACTAGGAGCAAAGGGCATCGCTACTAGGAGCAAGGACGCTACTAGGGGCTTCTGGCCTTAATACTAGGAGTAAGAAGCTACTAGGAGCTAGATCTAACCAACTTGGTGCATCGGATGTCCCCTGTGTTTTGTCTCATTTGAGTCGAAACAAGTGGCATCTGATTGGCGAACTCCTCGAGTTGGGGCGCCACATCCTCCCAGCCCTCTGGCGCCTGCAACGTCAAGACCGGACGCCCGCCAGTCGTCTCGGTCACACCTCCGTCCCTTGGCAATCATTTCTGTCATCTACTAGGAGCAAGAGGGCGCTACTAGGAGGCCATTGCTTTTAATGAACTTGTTACTACTAGCGTGGCACTTGTTACTAATAGCTTCTTTGTTACTACTAGTAAGGCACTTGTTCCTAGTAGAGGTTGGAGGTTGGAGGCCAACGCTTCGCTGAAAGACCTTCAACTCCAACGGCCCAGCCTTTTTGGTCGCCAGCGTCCGTATTCTTGGCATGGCGTCGGATCCGCGGCGTCTTGAGCCGACGTGCTGTGAGAGCCGACAAACCACGTGCGAAGAATCCACCAAACTCGGTTCTTGCAGACCAATTTGTTGGACGAAATGAAATGAAAGAAGTGGTCCCCCCTCCAGAAGAGGATCAAGAATCCTCCACTGCAAAAGGCTACCACAAATTCGCAACTGCTTGCCAAAGGTGCTGACGTCCACCCACTTCAGAAGAAGGGATGTTCTTGAAACCATTGGAACTTGAAGGACTGCATCTAAGTAGGTTGGGGGTGGTTGGAGGCCATTGCTAGTAGGTTCCTTAAAGTCTGATTCTTAAAGTCTTATTATATACATAGAATGCGGCTCCATAGGCCTGAGTATCCTTCCCAAGCTCCACCTCCGCACCTGTGCACAAGAGCGCAACCGCCGTGGGCGTCCGGACACTCTTCGTCTCCGGACGGAGCTGATCCAAGGCGTCCCACAGGCGGCGGCTCTCCCGGGCCCTCGCCTCGTGCCAGCGGCGCGGGAAGGGTCGCCGTTCGGCCGGTCCAAGAAAACGCCTTCTTGTTGCTAGTAGCGATGCCCTTTGTTACTAGTAGCGTCCTTGCTCCTAGTAGTACGGCCAGGAGCCCGTAGTAGCGTTCTTGTTCCAAATGCGTAAGATTGATATATGTGATTGCCCGAAAGCCGCTTGAATGGATTCAAATTACACTGGTGAGTTCCATCTCACTTTCAAAGTTTGCTCGATTGGGCAGTCTAAAATCCTGAAGCCGGATCCTTGTAAAGAAAGGCAAGCCGCAGCAAACCCTTGACAATTCCAAAAAGGTCTGGGATGTTGAAGTTTCGATTCTAATCTTAATTCTAATTCTATGATTGTTTCTTGTTTCTAATAGCAAACATTGCTCCTAGTAGCGATGCCCTTTGCTCCTAGTAGCGATGCCCTTTGCTCCTAGTAGCGGACATTCTGCTTTGCACCACATGTGCCACGGACTTTCTCACCGACATGACTTTCCGCGTGAACTTTCTAAGCTCTTGTGAAGCGAAGTGGTGAGTGGTGAGTCCCAACCGTCCCAAACTCAACAGAAGTGACCTGTTTTGTTCTAAAAAATACTAACCTAAGAGCAATGGCCTTCAACCTAATAGCGATGACCTCCAACCTAATAGCAGGAAGCGCCTCTTGAAGCAGTGGTCCAAACAAACCAAAGCATTCGGCATGCACCCTCGGTTCCGTGTTCACCCTGACTGACACGCCACATTGTTGCAGTGGACCAGCTGCATGGGCTTAGTTCGTACTTCTGTTGTGGTGGTGAAAAACTCCACACCAAGCACAACTACTACTCCTATAGTTTGTCCCTGGAATTGCCACTTATGTCTCCCAAGAATCTTGAGTTTGAAAAAGGAAAAAGGAAAGCCCTGTCGGTATAGTGTTTGTGCTTTGTTCCAAAACGGCCACGTCCGCTCCGCGTCGCCTCCATCTCTCTCCGAGCCAGCTCCTCCACCGACAAAATACTCCGCTCGAGGACCTCAGATCACTAAAGACCTACTCTGGTCACACGACGACAAAGAATGGAAAAGATTCGCAAACCACAAGTTTCTAAAACTAATCAACCGATGATGAACCGACCAATCTAAACCCAGCGAGATAAAACTACAATCTCTTGAAAGGTCGAGAGGTCCTTCCATCTGTTCAGTATGCAAACTTCCGAAAGTTACTTAATTTCTGGAACGAAACATGAAGATTCCCTCATAAAGAAAAGACACCTTTTTTAAATGGTCCGAAAAGAGCAACAATATATCCTTTAAAGGAATAGTGAACTTTTAATAATACCTCTATAGTTCTTCAAATGGTCTGGAACAGAATTATTGAGAACTATGTTCTTACTACTAGGAGCAAGGACGCTACTAGGGGCTCCTGGCATCGCTACTAGGAACAAGAAGCTACTAGGAGCCAAGGGCAACTCGCTCCAGCTATGGGACTCCCGGCCGTAAGCCGCTCAAAAGCCTGCCGCTCGCGGTTGAGCACCGCCGAGAGCTCACGGCCTCTGACGATGTGTTCCAAAACAGAAAACAACCTTCATTTGAGCTACTAGGGATGGCCTCCAACCTGCCAGCGATGGCCTCCACGTTTTGTTTACAAAAGCCGTTCGACTTTATTTCCGAAAGTGCTTTGCTTCTTCTTTCACAATGATTCACAACGTTTCTTGTTCTTGAAGTTCGAAGGGTGGGAAGGGACTGTTTGAGATATCATATGTGTGAGCTTTTTCTTGTTACGTCTTCCTTTTCGTCTTCTGGACCGATGTCGTTGGACCTTCAGACCGATTTAGACCGGTGCGTTCTTTCCTCGCTGTCATGCCGACCGGTTGTCACTGAGCTGTCAGTTGTCGCGAGTATATACTCCACTCTCAACGTCCAGATGGGCACAGTCCGCAAAGTATTGTCTCTTGCGTGTCCATCGATCACATAACCACGAGGAGGCAAAGTATTGAAAACAACTTTAGCTGTTGGTGTCACCCTTGTCTCTGTCAAGTGCAGTGCGGAGAGTTTGGTTACCTCAGATATTGTAGGCCCGAAGCATTCATGAAGGTCTTGGTTCGTCTTGGGTTTATATAAAGGACTACATGTAGCAGTGGTATCCTGTCAAAGTTGCATATTGTCTACATCCTGCCATAACTCAGGTGTATCTCAGCTCTACAACGCAATGTGTTCTTGGCAGGTGGCCAGGTTATTCCCGGGCATCCACTCTCACAAAGCTTTGCGAGAAGCAACTTTGAATGCAAAATTGTGCGGTAGAAACCGTTGTATATATTATTGTATGTATATATATATATATTGTGTGCTTTATACAAACTTTCCAAGGAGGCCCCCCTTGGACCGAGCCACCACCCAGCCAAACTCAACTCATCGATTTCCCTGTCCAAGCAACGTTGAAGTTCGCGAGCTGCGCGCTCACTCTCCAATTGTTCCTGGCTGGCCAAGAAGGCGAATTCAGAACCCAAAACGCAACCAAGGAGCTAGCCGACTTGTGACTCGCGGTGAACTGTAAAGACTCTGGATGGCCGGATGGCTCGTTCGGGCTCCAGGGCGGCTGTGGGTATTTCTTCGCGCTACTAGGAGCAAAGGGCATCGCTACTAGGAGCAAGGGCGCTACTAGCAGCCCCTGGCATTACTACCAGGAACAAGAAGCTACTAGGAACAAGGGCATCGCTACCCACGTCGACGCCTTCGCACAAAAGACCCGGCCTTCAAGGCTGCTTCCTTCATTTCCCGCCGCTGTTGCTCTGAGTTCAACTTCCCCTGGCGCTCCGGGGGCTATGGCATTCACAAAGCCCAAAGTCAACTACCTCGTTTCCAATGTGAAGCAGTCTTGACTTTCATGAAGTTCATAACACCAACAGAATGCTAAAAGAAACAGCAAATGGCACCGGGCACTGCGGCACCACCGGGTTCATGACGTATCTCCAGATCTCCCCTCCCAACCTCCATGGTCTCCTCTGAAGCCTCGAAGTGAAGGTGTCAGATCTCTGAAAATTCGAGAAAACCTGTGGTAGTAACAAGTGCATCGCTAGTAGTAACAAGTGCCTTACTAGTAGTAACAAGAAGCTAGTAGAAACAATAAGCCAATAGTAGCTTCTTGTTACTACTAGTAAGGCCAGGAGCACCTAGTAGCTTCTTGTTCCTAGTAGCGATGCCAGGAGCCCCTAGTAGCTTCTTGTTACTACTGCTGACCGTAGTTCTCTGTCTCTGATACTACGTATCTAGTTCTCTCTGTTGCGTTCGTAGCTTCTTGTTACGTTCGTAGCGATGGCCTCCAACCTACTTGCGATGGCCTCCACCTAATAGCGTCCATGCTACTAGTAGCTTCTTGATACTAGTACTACGTATCTAGTTCTCTCTCTCTCTCTCTCTCTCTGAAAAATGGATGGCCTGCTAGTCTTGGGAAGGTGATGTGTCTCTGGGTCGGAGGACTCCAATTATTTGTTCAACAAGAACCGCCCATCAGGATGCCTCGATGCCCAAATATTCGTGCTTCGTCAGTGAAAAATTATCCGACTTTGATACACCCTAGACGTCCACAATCTTCTCCTGATTTCGCTAGTAGTAACAAGTGCATCGCTAGTAGTAACAAGTGCCTTACTAGTAGTAACAAGAAGCTAGTAGAATCCATCGGAAATGGAGAAGAATGTTCTTTTCATTCAAGGGTCCCAACTACAGGGCCGAATCTTCTCCTGATCGCCCCCAGCATCACATAACTCTTTGCGGAAGGCAATCCAGGTGATGAAACAACCAGTGATTACCCAAGCAGCAAGTACTAGTTACTAGAGTGACAAAAAAGGAGCGTCCACCCACCAACCCAACCTTGAACCCAACCTACTTAGCTGCAAAAATTCAACTCCACATTTCAACCCACCGGAGAACCCATCTAGTAACAAGAAGCTACTAGGAACAAAGGGCATCGCTGCTTCTGGCATTACGACTAGTAACAAGAAGCTACTAGTAGTTATTTGCTACTATATAGTAGATACTAGTAGCTTCTAGCTCCTAAGAGCGATGCCCTTGTTCCTAGTAGTGATGCCCTTAGCTACTACTAGCTAATTGCTACTAGTAGCGGTGCCCTGAGAGTCGAATCTTTTCTCACGCCCTCCGCGCCATCGGCTGCGACAGACGGACTGAAAGCTATCGCCGGCCGTCCACGGCTGAAAGGAGCAAGATGACCAGAGAGCGGTCTTTCCCGTTCGTCTCCGCCAAAGTACGTGAACGCCAGGAAGTGTGCTTCAAAGTACGTGGCCATCGCTAGTAGGTTGGAGGCCATCGCTTTTAGGTCTATTAAAAATAAATTAATCCAAAAATGTTTTTTGGCCTATGCCAAACACTTCTTGCCCAAAGCGCCATGGACGGCTCCTGCTGTCAGCTATCAGAGCCACTTGGCCATCCCTCCTCAGGAGGGATGGCAAATGAGCGGCAAATGCAAAGCTGCAAAGCCCTCCTGGTGTCTCACAAGATGCGCGTTCAAACTGTTCAAACTACCAGGTTCATCGCCTTTACTTAAATTGGTGTTCTTTAATGCAGTTAAATCGTCCAAATCTGAATATGCTTGAGATTTGATTGTTTATACCCATTGACCCAAACGTTCTCTGCCCTCGCTTGTGCGACATCCATTTGGCATTCCTTGGACCATGCGGAACTCCTTCAGTCCCTGGCCCGCGCTATTCGGCAACGACTGCCACTAGGGAATCCACTGGTGACCACGCGGTAGTAACATCGAGCCAAGTGTGGGCTGATCGTTCTGAGCAAGTAAATACTCTACAGACTTGACGAAACTGCAGATTCTCTCACGTTTGTTCGCGAGAATTCCTCTAGTGGACCACTAATTCCTACCCAACCCTCAAGAAGCTCCAACGGAGAGGGGCCGCGCCACCGCGCCACAGCTTTCGGAGCTCAAATGCTTTCGGTCCGCAGCCGGCGTCGCTGGGCAGGCGGAGGGCCCTCGAGCTCCGAGGGGTTGATGCGACAGTCCTCGGAGAGGTTCACCCGGACGTGCCTCGGTGAGGTCCGAAGGGAGATGGACGGGTGAGGTAGCAAGAATGCTAGTAGCTAAGGGCCTTACTACTAGTAACAAGAAGCTACTAGGGGCTCCTGGCATCACCACTAGGAGCATGGACGCTCCTGGCCTTACTACTAGTAACAAGAAGCTACTAGTAGCTATACTAAGGGCCTTACTACTAGTAACAAGGGCATTACTTACTAGTATCAAGAAGCTAGTGGCGAATAAGAGAATCAATAGACGGATGTGGCCAACTCGGAACACTCAAAGAACTGGTCAATGGTTGAACTTTACATTTTTGTGCATGAATGCATGCGATGATTGTCTGACAGCAGGAGTGGCTCTGTCATACATCGTTGGCAAGACTGCAGTTTTTATCTGCTAGTAACTAGGTGAATGTCGTGCTTGGAATATCTTGAACTATCCCACTTTCATCTGCCATGTATTGCCATGCATACTGCTCTCAACCTCAAAATGCCGAACTGAAATGCACCTTGCAATTAGCTCGAGTCGTTCTCACTGGTTTTGCACGTTCGAGTTCCGGCCCGGACAACGTAACTACCTTGGGGCAACCTTAAGGCACGCTTAACAACTAAGAAAGAATATGTCTAAAGGGCAGGCCCGCAATCTCGACTTGCTTGCAAGAAACAGAAAAATTAAGCAAAAAACGCTTGATTGAAGGCAAGAAAGCAAAAAAAACGGAGGGAGGGACGGCCGGACGGATAGAAGGACAAGAGAAGGATCTATTTTTTATATCTTGTGTCATCTTGTGTTCTATTTTTCTTTTTTTGTCGCTCTGTCTTTTCTCTGTCTCTACATTTGGATCTACTGGGTCCCCGCAGGTCTTGCCCGAGGCAACCCCCACCGCTCTCGTGCTGAGCCGAGCACTTCCGGCAGGCCATCATCTTCGGCAGCAGCTCACCGATCTCGTCCATTTGAACCGCCAGGCGCCGAGCCTGTGTCAAAAGACGAAGGAAGACGGAGGACGGAAGTGAGGAATTGGAGTAACTCCAAGATCGAACTCTCGAAGTTGCACTTGGACACCCATTTAAGTACGTCTTGTTCCCAGTGGTTTCTTGTTCCTAGTAGCGATGCCAGGAGCCCCTAATAGCGTCCTCAAGTTCCCTTTCTTGTGTAACGAGGGCTAGTCACAAACGAGGTTGTTTGTTGCCGCTGTCGCCGTAGTTTCTCACAAGTCGGCTTTCCAGGCCACAGGCCGATCAAATCTAAACCTGACTCCCGCACCTGGCACCCTTCATGCAGCTTGATGAGCTTCACCTGAGTAGCCGTTGCACGGTTACACCAAAAGCATCGAGATTCAAAAGATCCGCACACTTTAGGAATTTCACCAAAGCAAATGCTTAACACGAAAGGTAAGGCACCAGGTTGCAAAAACACAAACCATTCGTAGTGTCAGGATCTGAATCAGGATGGTCACATCAAGATTCCATTCCCATCTTCCCTGTCTTCACTGGAGGAGCAACGTGGCTCTTCTGCATCCTAATCATTGCCAAGAAGCCCAGGGCCAATGGCACGACCACGGCACGTCCACGGAATGCCGATAGCCTATGCATGACAAACCGTCTCAACTTACAACCTCGACGACGTCTTAACCGTAGAAGCCTGTGTAGAAAGAAAAGAGAGAAAAAAACTAGTAGCGATGGCCTCCATCCTAATAGCGATGGCCTCCATCCCAATAGCG